TCACTAAAATTATGGACTTGATTGATTTAACAAAAGGCCAGTGGTGAACTGCACATGCGCTTGCTGAAGAAGTTGGGCTAACTCTAACAGTTAGAATTGTGGAGGGATTAGTCAGGAATCTTAAGGCCTCTTTTTCTCCAAAATTGATTTATTTTATTACAAATGTTCTATAATGAAAGGCTTTTTTTTCCCTCAGACATTTCTTTTTAAGGTTGTTCTTAAGTCTAGGAATTTGTTGATATTTCAAGTCAGACAAATTCGTTTTTTTGTTGTATTGAGAAAAAATGTAATATCATATTTGTGTTAAATCTTGGACAATTGAAGCGAAGACCAGACACTAAATGGAGGTCTTGACTTTCTATTTCAGATGAGATATGTCCATCCTGGAGACTACTGTACAAACCACCTGTCTCTAAGAAATGTGGGGATCTTCAGTGGAGATTATTGCATTGTATTGTAGCCTCAAACTCTTATTTCAAAATGTAATGACACTGTTTTCCCAAATTGTCCTTTTTGTATGTAATTGTTTTGTGAGTGTTTTAAACTCAGCTTAGCGATCAATTTTTAAGTCTCATCAGTGCAAAAATGCTGGTAAGAATACAAGTAGGCTATGGTGACCCTATTCAAGTCTTTAGTGGAGTCTTGAGTACTTATTGAATATTAATATCAATAGTATTGAACATTCCTTATTTTGAATGGAGATTATTTTTGGAGGGGCATTGGTGACTGCATTGTCTTTAATTGGTAATGTGTAATGTTTCTTTTTTTAATGTTTGTAAATTAAAGTGTTTTAAAATTCAAAAGCTGTGTCCCAAACTGAAGTGTGTGGACTCCGGAGGGCTCATTTGAAGTGCGATTGCGTCACAGCGGCGCGACAAAGGCTGTCCCAAACTGAAGTGTGCGGACTCCGAAGTGCGCATTTGAAGTGTGATTGCGTCACAGCGTCACGACGTATGCTGTCCCAATTCATGGTGCATTTCAAATGGGATATATCGCCCTCCGAAGGGCACTTCGGAGTGAAAACAATCATGGCCACCATATTGAAGGGTTGTTCCAAACCAAAGTGCTCAAAACTGTCCGCTTCAAAGGGCCCTTCGGAATGAAGGATTTCGAAGGGTACAACTGATGATGAACTAATTTGCGCAGATTCTTTGCATGATGACATTAGGCTTGTTTGAGATGCGCCTCGCCTCACCTGAAATGTTGGCTGCAGTGAGGGGAGGAGTGAAATAAGCGCAGTCAAGACGGACAGTTCTGCCCTCTCGAAGTGGAGAGGATACCAACGATATCAAAGGCAGATATCGCGTTATTCACACTCATGTGCTGTGTTGCTAATAAACGTGATATAATTTCAGTTCTGTTGCTTTTATGAAAATAAATATGGTGAACAAGACACTCAAAGTGCTTGCTATAAATTCCATACGAAAGGCGTATTTATCATCCATTTTTACTTTAATACAAACATGTATTTTAGATTTTTATAGAAATATGACAACAATCACATATCTCACAGAGATCGCACTGTCATCATGTTTGGGAATATTCATGCATAATTTAAATACATAATCACATGAAATCAGATTTAAAAAAAATTAAACATTTTAGACGAGAACGCAGCATCACGGTTGTCTGAACCAATGAGCATTAAGCTGTGTCTTCAGTCAGTCGTTTCCCATCATGCTTTTGATCAGCGCAGTCGGTGGAGAGCAACTGCGCTCGACTGCACAATCCGACACAGCCGCCTCGCCGTCGAGAGAGCTTTTTGGCACACGTCAGCATGACATCAGAGCAAGTCGTACATAACTCAGACACTTTTCTAACCGGCATGCATCTCGCGGTGATCACTGGTGATCGGTTCTGCGCAGATTTTGCTCATCTCAAACAAGCCTAGCGCCTCCGTGTGGGCACGTGATGATGACGCAGAAGGGCACTTCAAGAAAGTTGTTTGGTTCCCTACACCCTTCAACCCTTCGAAGCTCTCACTCTGGAGGGTAAACCATTTGAAGGGATTAGGGCATAGGGATGAGCCCTTCCGAATGGAACGCAGGGTCAGAATTCACCCTCCGAAGACTGCATTCCAAGCATTCCAAGGCCGATTGCGTCACCGCGGCGCGACGAAGGCTGACGTAATTCGAAAGCGACGTCAAATGCACCCTCCTTTTCCCAGGAAAATGAAGTGTACATCTGATGTTCGATTAATCGTGCAGCCCTACATCATACCCTCGGCCGGCAGGCATAGCAGATTCCACCATCGTCGCTGCCGGGGTTGTGTACGTTCGTGTGGGGTGGAGTTATTAAAATAAGGGCGAGTTCCTGTTGTATGGGCGTGTTTGTTTTGGTGCTTTCAATGATCAACATTGTTTGGCAACATTTGCTTAGTGCCTCACAAAACACACACTCAAACAAAAAATGCACACACACATCACATGTTTTTGCAGTATGGCACATGCACTCTACATGTAAACATTAAATGTGTGTCATTTTTTTCAAAAAAAATATATATATATTTTTTAATTGAATTATTTAGGATTCCATGTCATGTAAAAGTATATGTAATTGTTCAAAATATTTTACACATTTAATAAAACTGTGGCAGCCAAATAAATGGCCTTATGACTCACAATATTTAAGTCATGTGAAGCCATTACTAGAGAGCTTAAGTCATAATTATTTACTAAAATCCATTTGTCACAGTACTTATATCCTTTATACTTTTAGGTCCTGTCAAACTTGATCTAAAATCTCCTAATTGTATGAGCTCACATTCTAATAGCAAGCAAAGAGCAGCAGGGGCAGCATCATCTCCAACTAGTACTTTGTTCATGTCAACATGCTGTGTTTACTCACCACACATGAGATGTGCTTTAATATATTTCATTGCATACTACATATTTTGCAAAATTGAGTATGTGAACTCAATATTCAGTAAACACTTTCCAGATAATATTTGAATAATATGCATTAGTACAATGATTATTTAAGAGATTATATTTAATTCAGGAAAGAATGTGTTTAGTATTTATTGCACTGAGTTAAATTAATATGACTCTGAAGCAGCAATGAAGGCGCTTAAACTCAATGCTGGCACCACTCACAGCAGTCACGGTTACAGGACCTAATTGAACACCATGGTTGTAAGACACAAATTAAGTCTTAAATTGATGATCTGTCATGACAAAACAGCAGGACAATAAGTGTTAACCAAACTTTAGCACTTCAGTATTTTGTATGCATGTCCTGCTGTGTCGTATTTTCTACTGTTAAGATTGCAAACCTGTCTTTATATTTTCTCTTGTTTTAGTACTATTCTGGAGAAAATGAGCCTGCTGGGGAAAGACTTAAAAAATACAAAGTAAGCAAGTTAATACACACAGGACCATCAACAGCACAACAACATCAACACTGAATAACATTTAAATAACAAAACCATTTTTTTTTCTTCCATAATGTGTGCGTGTATGTGTACGTCTATACTTTAATGTTAACAGATGCCATGCAACAAAACAATACACCTTCTAATCTATCCTAAGAGTTGATGATTTTCACCCTTTCATGTTTGGTATCGTTTTAAAGGTCTCAGTGCAATTGGAAATATGATCATAGTCGCATATGGGGCAGTCATGGTTAGCGAGTCGGACTTGTAACCCGAAGGTTGCAGGTTCGAGTCTCTGTACCGTCAGGGATTGTCGTTGGGGGGAGTGAATGACCAGCGCTCTCTTCCACCCTCAATACCACGTGTGCGATTCAACGCACCCCCAACTGCTCCCCGGGCACCGCAGCAATATGGCTGCCCACTGCTCCGGGTGTGTGTTCACAGAGTGTGTGTGTGTGTGTGTGTGTGTGTGTGTGTGTTCACTACTGTGTTTGTGCACTTGGATGGGTTAAAAGCAGAGCACAAATTCAGAGTATGGGTCACCATACTTGGCCACACGTCACTTCACTTTCAGTAGAACAGACCAAAAATAAAGATCTCAAATTTGTGGAAAATTATGTTCTGCTGATGTGGGTTGTGCCCCTAATAAGGTCTTTTCCAGATGTTGTTTTTCTACCTCAGGTTAGATATGGCTGTCAGGTCACCTCATGTCCCAGCAACAAATCTGTGAAGTTATTAATATTATTATTATTGGATGTATTATTGTTTTATTCTGATGTGGGTATTTAAAGAGAATTGGCAAATCATTCAAGGAAGCAGCTGTAAACAGAAATTCCCACACAATTGCTATGTCTTTACTGCGAGGTATGCTGACTCTTTGAAATTATTTTTTTATCTCACGCTGATCAGTTGTCACCAAATTCCAATGCATTGTTTTAATTGATGTATTCTCTTTACTGATTGATTGAATCTGCAACGCAAGACTCAAATGTGACATCAGTCCCAATGAACGGATAATTGAAACTATGGTGTGTCCGAATAATCATGCATCTCAATTAAAACACAATTAGCATTATTATCAGCTTCTATAACTGCCATCGCAATTTATATTGAATGGTCTCTCAAAATTGGAGTCAGATAAAAAATGACAAAGGAGTAACAGAAGCGCAAGAAAAGTCATTCACACAGAAAACCTTCACCCACGCCTCTGGATTTCGCTGCTGGGTGGCCCTTGCATTACCAATGCTTTGAGATTGTAACAAGGCTGGCGCCAATGTACAAGCTACTGGACCTGGTTGAACACCATGACTGAGAGCGAGTGAGGAGGCATGAAGGCATTAACACTATGACGAGTATTTAGTACCACTTTCAAGGCTTCCCAGGTATGGCAAGTGGAAAGTGCCACTGATTAGACAATTGTTTACTGTTACGTGAGAGGAGGGTACGACACCCCCATAGAGGTGTGACTCCAACTTTTTTGAAGAAGAATAAAACCTTAGTATAGCGAGTCAGGAATGACACTCCTATTCACTTAAATAAGGCTGGCAGCAATCTGTTGTATTTAGCTGCTGCAGTTTGCCCAGCGGTGAATCTCAGAAAAACATCTTATGAAAAATGTGGTGCTGTTTTAAAGTCTTACCTGTTGCGGTATATGAAAATATATCAAAAGTTTGTATGCGAGTAGTTCATTTTGTGTAATAATATGCACAGCTTACTAAGAACGGTGCCGCATACATCTGTGTCCCAGTGCACTCTTGAATACAGGTAACTTTACAAGAGGTAAATTAACATGGCAAAATAACGAGCAAAGTTATGTTGCTGAATTGAAGAAAGTGTTGAATCGGATTTGTTTCTACTGCTAAAAAAATAAAAACTCACTCAAGATTACTATATTGTGATTCACAGTAAAAATGTACTGTAGAATTATTATGACGTTATGATGTTTTGCAGATCTACAGCAACATGCGGTCCACAGGTTCTACAGTAAATATTGGTTCATTTTACATTAATAGTGCTTTGAAAACTAGAGGCATTTGTTACAGTGTTGTTTTAGGATGATTTAGCAGTCAGAAACGTCTCTGCTGTGTGTTGATGGCAGCGGTCACACACTTGCTAGGCGACAGGAGTGTTGGGTAGGAACAGCTGGTGATGCAAACAGAAAATCCTTCATAGACAGTCTCATTTAACGATGCAAACTTCAGTCTTCGTGGAGTTCAAGGGATGCAGCCTTCCAGTTGGGACACAGTTATGGTGTAACTTTTCTTGCGGTTGCAATAAATCTAACAAATTAATAAGAGTGAATGAAATGTAATGAAATGACTAGAACAATAACACTCACTGTATGCATTCCCGTTTCGCGTCAGATGTAAATATTGTCTATCCAGAATGTCTAAATGTGGACATAAGCAAATGGACGAGGATGTGTTTACATGAAAACATATTAGTGTTTATAAACAACCAAAAAAAACATACAGTAAACAGCAGGAATATGAAATGAACCGACACTAGACTCTCTCCATACAAAATATTTCTCAAAAATCACACTTATTCCTTAATCTCACACACTGGCGCCTCAAACGGAGGGTTTTTAAAGGCTCTCAGTAACCAGTCTCACCTGTCTCCACTAATTAACTCAACCCTCGTCAATCAGCTCATTAGTAGAGTTGTTTGATTTAGTGCCAAAAGTGGCCCAACAGAAAAATATAAAAATGAATTTCAAATTATGTTATGCTGCCCACCTATAACATTAAAACAGCTGTTTAGTTGTGAACATTAAAATATAAGTAAAGAATGTTCATAATATATAATTTTGTTGATTAAGGTCCATATTCACATTTACTAATACTGACTGATCACAAACATCAGTATGCAAATCATGGGAAAGAGATGGACAAGTACACAAATATAGAGGAAGTGAATATGAAATAGGTGTTCTAGAGTAATATACAAATGAAGTGACGTGCTGAGTGACGGATTATAAAAAATGAATTTCAAATTATGTTATGCTGCCCACCTATAACATTAAAACAGCTGTTTAGTTGTGAACATTAAAATATAAGTAAAGAATGTTCATAATATATAATTTTGTTGATTAAGGTCCATATTCACATTTACTAATACTGACTGATCACAAACATCAGTATGCAAATCATGGGAAAGAGATGGACAAGTACACAAATATAGAGGAAGTGAATATGAAATAGGTGTTCTAGAGTAATATACAAATGAAGTGACGTGCTGAGTGACGGATGAGAGCAGATATAATAATCATATAGTTTGAAGCTGCAGACAGAAACATCAGACTCAGGACAGAAACACACGACCTCTAAAGTAAGAACAACTCACATCTTCATTCTTTAACTAGAATTAGACTTTGAGATGTTAATATTATCTGAATTGCAGTGAATCCTATTACGCTGCTAAGATGCCTTTTTAAAAATTATTTTTAAATTCTTGTTTGCTTGTTTGTTTCTTCCTCAGAAATGGAGCAAGCTCTATATTTCATTCTTCTTCTCATTGGTGAGTGTTTGTGCTTTTATTCATGGTTTCTAGTTTCATTAGGTCTGTTATGAAAAGCATTAAAGCAAAGCCTCTCTTTCACAGCTCTCTGCTCCGTATCTGAATGTGTTCAGCGTCAGTATCACTTTATAAATGAGAGGAAGACCTGGACTGAAGCTCAGAGATACTGCAGAGAGAATTACACAGATCTGGCCACCGTTGACAACATGAACGACATGAACGAGCTGAAGAAGATTGATGGACGTGTCTGGATTGGGCTGCAGAAGACGGGTCGTGATAAATGGCAGTGGTCTTCAGGTGAACCTGCGCTCTATCTGAACTGGGCTACTGGACAACCAGAAAATAACAATTGTTCTATTATGAGAAATGGAACATGGCATGTTGTGGGATGTGATAAGTCCCTGAATTTCATCTGCAATTCATCCAATAACAGTGAGTGCATCTTCCTACATTGACAACAAACATTCATTTATAAAAAGATGCATCATATTTAAGTTTTCAACCCTACTCCTGGAGTCCCACTGCCCTGTAAAGTTTATATCCAACCTGCTTCAGCTCGTGGTTTTCAAGTGATCCTGAAGAGCTTTGATTATGGTTGGAGCTGAACTCTGCAGGACAGCGCCTCTCCAGAACCGAAGCTGGCCACAGTTCTGACACAAAACTAATTGCTTCTACTTTTGAATGTGGTCATAAATATAAACAACTTAAAGTCAGTTTCTGTAGAGACAAACTGGAAAAAAAGTATTTCATTGAACGCATGTTGATCTTTTGTTGTCTCATGGGATAACTGTGGAAATCTGTCATTCGAGAGCATAGGTTTTGTTCTTGTTGTTGTTCTTCTTCCAGCAATATTTATAAATTATGAATTCAAAAATATCAATCCATTGTCTAGGGAATTAATTAATGAAAAACATGAAATGAGATTAATTAATTGGATCAAATTTAACAGACATATAGTAGAGGCCAAAATTGATGTCTGACCTAGGAAAATTGACGAACCTTTATTCAAACATTATTAAAACTGTATTAAAGATTTTATTAGCATATTGCATTGTTGTGATTGAAGTCAATAGTTAATTTGTGACAAGATGACCTCTAGCAATAGTATTAACATTTCAACAATATATATATATATATATAATTAATCTAGAATACAACATTTTGAATGGACTATTTACCAACATGTTTCTAAGGACGAGCAGAACATCATTGTTTCTCTCATAAAGCTCTTTGTGTCTGAATCCAGTATTTTAGAGAAACGTGTAAGGAATTGTAGTGGAGAAATAGAAAGTGGCAATAAAATGATAAAGGAAATTCACAAATGTTACTTAATATTATATCAGCAAAATGTATTGTGTTTGAATGTGATGTGTTTCTGTTGTTTAGACTGATGCTCCTGTTCACATCCAAACTGTAAAGCAGCATAAGAATAATGAACAAACTGATTCATGAATCTTTGTCCATTTGTTTTTCTTTAAGCGAACACAGGACTCGTCTTTGTCAATCAGGAGAAAAATTGGAAAGATGCTCAGAGTTACTGCAGACAGAGTCACATTGATCTGGTCAGTGTGAGAAACCAGAGTGAGAATCAACAGGTTGAGAAGCTCATTAGTGATAATCACTCATCTGGATCAGATGTCTGGATCGGTCTGTTCAGAGACTCATGGCAGTGGTCAGATCAGAGTAACTCCTCATTCAGATACTGGAAGTCTGGTGAACCTAATAATATTGGAGGTAATGAAGACTGTACAGCTGTTGAACAGAACGCTTTGGGACAATGGATTGACATCTCTTGCAGCAACCACCAGTTTCCTTTTGTGTGTCATGAAGGTGAGTAGATCCTCACAAAACACACACAATCCATCCATCACCTCCAGATCTCTTAAAGTTCACGCTACACGTCTGACATGACAAACTCATCCACAGTGTTTGTTCTGCATGTTGTTTTTGATCAGTCTCTCTCTAGTTTCTGCTTGTGGTTTGTTTGGTTTCCAGATAAACTGATTGTGATCAGAGAGAATCTGACGTGGTCTGAAGCTCTGAGATACTGCAGACAGAATCATGTGGATCTGGTCTCGGTTCATTCAGAAGAGATTCAGCGTCGTGTGATGAACGTGGTTAAACGGGCGTCTACTGCGGCGGTGTGGTTGGGTTTACGTCACTCCTGCACTGTGGGCATCTGGTTCTGGGTGAGTGGAGAGACCGTGTGCTATCAGAACTGGGCTCCAGGGAACGG